GATTTCATGAACTATTGAAATAAGGGATCATTCCAAATTATTGACAGCCATGAAACGTCCTTGAAAGAACTAGACTGCATAAGGCCAAAGAATTTCTGAGCACATTTTATAAATACATGGATTCCTCAATTGCACATGAAATTTATGACCTCTACAGTTCTTTGTATCATTGGAAAGAAAAGACCACCATCTATTTTGCAGCATAGCCAAACTATAACTATTTCTGGCTAAATGGTAAGGGCAATTGCTCTATCTTTTTGGACAAAGTGCCTAGGTATCCCATGACTCTCCCTCTAAGACACAATAAGAGGAAAAACATCTGGGTCCCCAAGTGACTTTTGGGAAAGCTACATTGTCAGCCTAGCTTACCTGGACTAAATAAGGAAGAAAAATAAATACCCTAAGCCATTTTTTAATCTCTTTGGATAATGAGGTTTTATCCTAAATGTTGTGATCTTGAAGTTAGGAGAGATACCAAAAGATACTTTTAAAAACAGCCAATGCAATTACCCTCTTCTGTCCTTGGTCTGGGGTACAAGTCAGTGAGACCCACAGTTCAAAATAAACCACATATTACCCAGGGAAATCAACTAGGGAAGAACTTTCATTTTTTGATGCTAAAGAACAGAGCTGTCCCTTTACCAGTTTTAAGGTTTTATTTACCCCATCTGCTCCAAACTGACAAGAAAAACAACAATACCTCAAATTACCACTTCATAAGCAACCAAAATTATAGGCAGAGATCTGGCCAGACTTTCACAGTGGCAATTTTTACTAAATGTACCACCAAAGAAAAACACCTCATTAAGACAATTTCAATTTTTCACTGAGGTGCGTAGACAAGACAATCTTTGAGGTCATTTCCAGATCTGAGTCTATGATTTCTAAATACTTATAAAACATTTCATTGGAATGAAAAAGGAATAATGCCTAGAAGAAATAAGAACATTTTTTAAAAGTGGAAAATGGTAAATCTTTATGGAAAATACACAACCTAGAATACTAGACTCGCAGCTATGCACAAATGCATACACTCCTAGCTTAATCCTATTCATAGTTACAAATATTTACAAACTCTATTCCAATACTATTGTTTTTGTTCTAACATAAAAGCATTTATCCAAACAAGGAAGAGAACTCAATGAATGAAGTTTCCAGTTCTGAGTTTCCATGAAAGGTCGAGTCCAAAGGAACTAGGTCAAACTGCTTTGTTCAAACCAGCAAAAATCCTGATGTAATCGCTCCATCAATCACAGAGGGAGCCCATGAGAGAGTACTTCTCAAAGGGGAATGCTCATGTTTCTGAGGGCTCAAAATGAGGACAGTGTACCTCTCAAAGAGCCTTGGTGTGATCCAACTTTGCCCCTCCCAACCGCACCCCCCAAAAAAACATTCCAACAATCCTGAAGTTAAAAGGAGCAAATACAAAGTTTTTCAATTTTCATTTATTTATTTATTTTTTGGTGAGTGGGGAGATACCAGGGATTGAACTCAGGGGAACTCGACCACTGAGCCACATCCCCAGCCCAGTTTTATATTTTATTTGGAGACAGGGTTGCACTGAGCTGCTTAGCGCCTCACCATTGCTGAGGTGGCTTTGAACTCATGATTCTCCTGTTTCAGACTCCCAAGCTGCTGGGATTACACCGCACCCAGCTACAAATACAAAGTTTTAAAGAATAAAAGCCAGTGAGAAAATTTTAAGACAAAAGTAAAAGAGAACTCACCAGAACCTAAATATCTTATTGGCTGCCAAATTAACTCCACCGTCAACAATGAGTGTGCATTGAGCATATTGGCTCTAGAGATAGAAGGTGAAAAAAGACCCCTGTCCTCATCGATCATGGTTAGGGGAGACAAACAACACATAATAAACAGTTAAGTACAGAAGCTAGTCACACTGAGGAGCCAATAGGTCCAGAGCTGGGATAATAAAAAATTCAGTTCCTGGGTTGAGGAATCACCAGGGGGATCAATGAAGGCCACTCTTAGGTAGTGAGTATTAAGCTGAAAGCCATAAGAGAAGGAGTCAGCCAAGCATCCAGCCAGGGGAAGAAGGTCCCAAAGCAGAAAGCATCTTTAGCAAGCCGCATGAGGCATGGGAAATGAAGGAGATGGTGGCTAGAGCCCTTACTGGCCAAGCCCAGGTCTGCAGAACACATGGCCTCCCACCAAAATGCAGCCACTGGCACATTCCCTAAATTCAGGAAGCTGAAGGAGAGGAAGCTGGGCAACAAAGAAGTAAAGAAAGGAAGGAAAGAGTAAACATCTAGCAAGGGAAGGGTATGGTAGAGCCACCCTTAGTACCACTAAATTGTCCCCTCTGCAAACAAGAAAACTAGACTTAGGAAAGGCTAGGGATTCACACAAGAGTCATATACCTCTCAGAGGGATGAACTAGGAGCATCTGACAGGCACATTCAGTTTCTTTTATTTTATCACAATGTTTTTTCATTTTTTGACAAAACAAAAGCATTTTGCACAGATTATAATGGTATACTACTCATGTGAACTGAGAATTTTTTGTGTATGCTGTCAACTAAGGCTCAAATGATCTATTGTTAAACTCAAGAAAGTTTTTCCTAGTACAACTCCTAAAAATTGATTTCTCTTCTTCATAAAGGGACACTGATTAACATTTTAACCATCTCTATGTCATCTTCTAATAAATATGTGATTCAGTTGGGCACAGTGGTGCACACCTGTAATCCCGGCGACTCAGGACAAGTTCAAGGTCAGCCTCAGCGACTAAGTGAGGCCCTAAACCACCTAGACCCTGTCTCAAAATAAAAAATAAAAAGGGCTGGGGATGTGACTCAGTGGCAAAGCACTCCTGGGTTTCAATCCCCAGTACCAATAAATAAATAATTCATCACAACAAAAATATAAAGCTCAAATGTCCAACAATACAATAGTAACTGATGATACAGAAATATAATAGAAAATTGTTTAGCAATTTTAAATGATAAGCATGTAGATTCTTCATACATGGAAACATAGTATTAACTGATATTAGCCTAATTAATTTAATATTAAAAGCACAATATAGTATTACACACTGACTACAACTTTGTGATAAAATAGACTTTTTTWAAAAAAAAAAATCAGGGATTGAATCCAGGGGTGCTTAACCACTGAGTCACATCCCCATCCTTTTTTATATTTTATTTAGAGACGGAGTCTTGCTAAAATGCTAAGGGCCTCGCTAAATTGCTGAGGCTGGCTTTGAACTTTCCATCCTCCTGCCTCAGCCTCCTGAGCCTCTGGGATTATAGATGTGTACCTCCACACCCTGTAAAAGCACACATTCTTTTCAACACAGATGAGAAATAAACAAAGGAAGTTAAGAAGGATACATTTTTATTAGAATTATTTTGCTTAAGTTCACATCATAAATCTATAAGGCACCTTTCCAAAAGAAAACAATATAAAGAAATAAATGTCTTTAAATGTGGACTTTCTTAACATCTATCCAGAGCTCATGTTCATGGGCTCATGTTCTCTTTATCACTTGGAATTTTCGAAGCACAGATATCAGGAGAGATTTTCTTATTTTAACTCAATTTGAGTATTTAAGCATCTTAATATTGACCCAAGAGTGCAAAGGTGAGTCTATAGGCAAATATTAATAAAAACACTGAACACCCTCCAAATTTTTTTCTGTGGAGACTACAGTTGTGGACAATTGTGGCGAAACACACCTGGGTCGCTCACACAGAGGTTCACCCAAAAGTTCTGATTTGTGAAGTTCACCCAAAGCTCTGATTTCTTCTGTGCTGCTACCCAACATACTAAAATGCTACACTGGCAATTCATTTCTTTCAAATACTAATGTATTTGACTTTCACTAAAGGCAATAATTGATGGAGCTGTAATGTTGCCTGTGTCACCTTGTGGAGCTGAAAACATATAACTTTGTATTTCAAGACCATCAGCACAGAATTGAGATCCATGAGTCGGGACATGTACAGATTCTTCGAGGTGCTTCTGTTGCATTTAAGAATTTAAGTGGTTTTGTTTATTACCTATTGCCTAGCAATACATGGTCTATTTAAGGTAAACTATTAAATATATATACACAATTGAAAATAACATTTAGGAAATAATTTAACCCCATTTTGAGATGAATAAGAGAAAGATAAAAAGAAAAGATGATACACAGAAAAATGATTTTTAAGTAGTCTTCATTCAAACTGAATATTTTATTTTGAATATTTCATTTTATTTACCTTTATTTTATCTTGAAAGTTAGATAAATTCCAGTGGCCATTGTCTATTTTTTACAGTATTCTCTGAATCAAAGTGGTAGAGCAAATAAAAGCAAGGCATGAATATTGAAAATGTCCTAAATGCCCCTTTAAAATGGTTCATTTTGTAATACCAATTTTAGTTCAGTAACAACAAAATGATGGTCACAGTATATGTCTCTATTACCAAGAAAATATAATATTTATGTGCTAGAGAGACAGTACAGCAAATCTAAGCCACAAAATTCTGAGGCTGTCCAACAAGGACATTCCAACAACAAAAAGTCATATATTCATGATTAAGGGATGAGATTTTCTTCAAAAGAACAAAGGAGAAAAAAAGAATGTGTCAGGTGGGGGAATGGTTGAGAGTGTAGCTCAGCAAGACTGGCCACAAGAAAATAATTTCTGAAACTGGGCGATGGCTACAGAGAGTTCATGACATTGTTCCTTCCCTTGTGTGTCTGTTTAAAACTGTCTACAGTAAACAGGTCTTTTAAATAATTATGTGTTTAGAAGGAGCYTTAATCCTGGAACTAGGAACACACGCACAGCACTGGGTGTGTGAGAAGCTTAATGTGAGTCAGGAAACCAGCAAGAGTATCATCTTTATTTTTCTAAGAATATCTGACTTCTAATATTGTGCATTGTTAACTTACTTTTCCTAATGGACAGGGAAGCTGAAGCGGCAATAAACAGACTTCATGCCAGCACACTTTATAAAGGATAAAGAGTTATAATATCTGCACATACCAGGAGTATCATAGGCCTTTTCCAAGTTGTTAATCCGATGATTCCAGAGAGTATCACCTGCAAGGATAAACAGCCTCATCAGCCTACAAAATGGACCAATGCCAATAGAATCATCCCCAAACTCAAAAGTAATACATTTTTGTTTTCGTTTTTAAGTACTGAAATTTCAAAGCATTCTAAATCAAACATTTAATGCTCCCACTGATTTTGTGAATCCTGGTCAACCACTYCAGACTACCTATCACTTCCAAGCCCGCAAAGCATTTTTATTGACTGTGTGTGTTTTTCCTTAATGTCAATTAAGAACACACAGATAAAAATTATCTCCTTTTGGTCACTGAAGGAATCAATCAGTATTTCCAATCAAGCTCCCCACTTCCAGTAGTGCCCAATCTGCTGCCAGAGTCAGCCTAATAAGGTACATATCTGGCCACCTCCCTTCATTAGGGACAGGCCAACTCTTCACAATGGTAGAAGCCTCAAGTCTGGTTTCCAATTACCCCTTCATCTCCACCACACACCTGCCCTCCCTTGCACCAGCCACGCTCTAGATATTCCTGGGCAATGTGTTTCTTTCTCTTGCTGCAGTGCCCTCTCCTTCAAACGACCCTCTTAGCTGCCTGAAAACTCTTACCCATCCTACAAAATCCCAATTAAGTCACCTCCTCTGAAAAGCCTTCACTGCTCTCACCACCCCCTCTGCACTAAACTTTTCTTCTTCAAAAAACTCTCTGCTGTAATAATTTTAGGGTGCATCTCTGTGTATCGTCTACTATGAACTCCAGTCTTACCTCTGAATCCCTACCTCCAAGCACAGTACATGTCACATGATTAACAACTAATGATGTTCCTCAGCATTTATTCCACAAACAAGAAGAAATGCATTCAGCGAGAAAGATTTCATGTTGCAAAATGATATTCTAATAAACAAGCTAAGATTATCCATATGGAACAAGCATGTTGCCAAAGCATAAACTGGAAACCCAGGTTGGCCTTCTGGATAACACAGTTCACTAATCCACAGGGAAAGAATAAACAAGGTAGTTAGTTATTCAGACCAGGGACACTTTGATGCCACTTGAGCACACTTACCTTTGTGAAATAATCTGCATTTGCAGTTACAGGGGCTTTCCATCATGTGTACGTTTTACTTGCCAAAATCCCTCAAATGCACCAGTTACAATTACTCTTTATTAACTACAAATCAATAAGGATTTTACAATGTCACTGCAAACTGAGAGCATACAGGCCCGTTTGAAACTGCCCCATTTTCACAAGCTCAGAGTGAACCAATCTGCATCACCAAACCAGCAGAAGACAAGTCTGCCCACTGACAACAAAGACCAAAACCCACATACGGGTACGTAGGCAGGCAGCAATTTCTCTGTATTCCATCCATATTTCAATATCTGCCTGCCCAGCAAGCACTATATCCTTCCAATCCCCTTAAATCCAACAGGATATTGCCTTCCCTCGGCCATGTAAGCCTAGAGATGCCGATGGCTTGTGACTCACCCGAATGCGGGGGTAACATCTACTTTACAAATCAGAACTGCAATCCAGGAGACCCATGGCTCCAAGCTCCCACTTAGCTTCCAAAGAGTTAATGCTATGACTTTGACCAAGTCATGGCCCTTCTCTGCCCCTAACTCCGGTTTCCTGAGAAATTAGTTTTTGTGAAAATATAACTGAAAACTGGCCAGCCCACTATAGTAAAATATAACTGTGCTGTGAATTATCTATCCATCAGTGTTTGCTATTCATGTCACTGGTCTCCCCTATTACAGACCCTGTGGTTCAGCTTTCAAACATTATGTTTTTTTAAAGAATTTAGCCTTTATTTTATTTTGTTTGTTGTTGTTTATATGTTCTTATGTGGTGCTGAGGATCGAACCCAGGTCCTCACCCATCCTAGGCAAGCACCCTACCACTGAGCCATAACTCTAGCCCTTCAAACATTATATTTTCCATTAAAACCATATTATTAAAGTAACATGTCCAGCTCAGACCACAAAAGTCCATACAACAGTGACATGACTAAGCTACACTTTCCACCTCCTCCCAGCCACCTCATCCCACTCCTTCATGCTAATCTAGTCTGTTTACATGTTTCACGCATGATAGATTTCTATCTCAATTCCTATCACTATACACACAGGTATATGTATTTGTATACATATGTGCAGGTATGTGATTTTTATAAAAATGGTCTATAAAAGATATACTTTCCCTGCTCTTTTTTCTCTCTCAACTCCATGTAAATCTATTCATTCCACTGGAATAGCTATGATTCATTTCAGTTTAATGGCTATACAATATCCACTGTGTGGCTGGACCTAACATATTCTATCATTTCCATACTTGTGGACATTCACTCTCATTTCCAGTTTTTGGTCCTACCAAACGATGCTGTAGTAAATATTAAAGAATATGTATCTTTAAATATGAGTCCTTTCATTTCTGTTGGATAAAGTCTCAAGAATGGAGTTGTTAGTTGTTATTTGTATTTTTTATTATAATAAATCATAACAGATATCCCATGATATGCATGCTAGTCAAGTGCTTTACCACTGAACTGCATCCCCAGCCCAAAAGGCCTATTTTATTTTTATTTTTATTTTTATTAGAGCTTTATAGTTATACATAGTAATTAGGCTCATCCCAACAAATTCAAACATGCGTGGAAATGGATTTCAGTTCATTATCCTCCCCTCCTCCCTTTACCCTTCTGTCCTCCCACCCCACTTCCATTCTCCTTCCTTTGCTAGACTTCCTTTTACTCCTCTATTAATTTATATTTGATTGGTTCTTTATGTTATTCATACAAGTGTCATTTTGAATGAAGTGTTCTAAGATCAAAACCAAAAAACAAAAAGCCTATGCTATCTTTATTTCTTCCTTTGGGGTGGTATTTTGTTAACATACACTAGCAACAAACCATAGAAAATGTACTTTAAAAATATGTTCACAGGCTGGGGTCGTGGCTCAGCGGTAGAGCGCTCACCTAGCATGCACGAGGCCCTGGGTTCTATCCTCAATACCACATAAAAATAAATAAACAAAATAAAAGTATTGTGTACAACTAAAAAATAAATATTTAAAAAATGTTCAAAATGTAAATGATAGATAAGAAATAGCAATAATCTCAAAATAGATTTGACAAAGATACTTAAGACCTTGGGGAGGAGAAATATAAACCTTGTAGAGCAATATTAGATGAAGCCCCAAATAAGGCATGTATCAAGTTCATGGATTGGAAGATTAACTATTGAAAGATATCATTTCTACCTGAATGGCTGAATCCCAGCAGGATCTGTGCAAGCCACCCTTCTTTAGAAGGTGCTTTAGGAGACTGCATTACAGTCCCAGGAAGGAGCTGCAGATGCCTCCTTCTTAGTCCTGACCTCTGCAGCAAACACACATTTACCCATTCCCTCTTGCTTTTCAAATCCAACAAGTCCCTGTGAGTGGTGGGGTAGGGGGGCAAGGGTAGTCAGAGGAAGTAAGAGTTGGATGGTGAGAAGCTTCTGGAACAGTAGCAGTAACAAGTGCTGGGGATAGATCTTTTAAGAGTGGAGACTTAGGGAATAGATGCTCCCGTTCCATCTAAAGGAAGGATGGAAGTGTTGGGGAAGCAAATGAGGAAGTATTGGGGAAGGAAAAAAAAGAGGCAGAGTACTCTGTGTCTCTACCTTCTTGGTGGCAGCAGTAACTGGAGCTCCACCAGAGGGGAGTCAAGAAGTTCCCTTAGCAATGGGTTTTCATGGTTCCCAATGCCCCACAATGCTACTACTTGTTCAACTGTGTGTTTCCTGAGGGCTTGGACTTGTGTCCTCACTCAAGTACTGCTACAGTACCCTAGAAGGAACTCAGTGAGAGATGGCAAAAGTCAATGGATGAATGAATGAATGAATGAATGAATGAATGAATGAATGAATGAATGGAGACCAGAAATACGAGCTGAGCTTGCTCAAAAATGACCATGTAAATCTAACACACATTCACCCTCTGTGCTTCCTGAAAGGGTGTACCAGCAGCAAGAAGCAACTCCATCAACATTCTTCACACCCAGCACGAGATGCAACTTGCCCTGAATGAACAAGCAAGAACCTATTTTCCAACACCACACTATCTCTATATTATTATAATGAAGCTTCTTAAATTTTTTAAATTCACTTGCAACCCACTTGTAGCATATAGAAAAAGCAGAACCCTTTCTTTCTCTTCTGATTAATGCCAAGAGGGCCGCTGAGATACTCCAAGTAGGAATCACTGTCACCCACCACGTATGGTTAATGTGTTTTAATTTTCCAGCTTAAAAATCAAATCATTAACATCAAAAGCTTATAATTCCACTGCCCTATTTTCCTTTGTTAATCCACTAACATGCTTTAGGGCAAAAATGTTCTGGATCATTTGTCAAAAGCTGCTGTGTCTAAACATAGAGATTAAAAAAAAAAAAAAAAGCCATGTTGTAAATGTGCCATGTTTACCTTGTAAATAAGCACAGAATAATTTATCAAACCTCTCAAAAATCTATCTTGCCCTATAGCCTTTATGTTGGCAACTAGAAAAAGTATGTTGAGGGGCGTGGGGAGGTTCTTCCCTTTCTGAGTAAAATGACTCGTTAAGAAAATTGATAAAGAACAGAAGTGGTGAGAGAGGGCATCCCTGTCTTGTACCAGATCTAATAAGAGCATGCTACAGGGATACTGCTACATCGATGTTCATAGCAGCTCAATTCACGATAGCAAGACTGTGGAATCAGCCTAGATGCCCTTC